TAGACTTCAGCGGTCATCAGTAAAGGCTGACCTATTTGAACCCAAGAGTGACTTGGATTGGCCATGGGATCAGACAGGACAGGAGCAGATATGTGGATATGGCAGGAGAACCTGAGACGGGAAAGATGAAGTTAGAACTTGAAGGTCAGGCTGGTTTTCCCAGAGAACATTGGTTGATTTGGTTACTAATCAAAAGAAAAGGAGACTTTACTGAAATTTGTTTAAGGGATTGGATTAGAAAGTTCTGGTTCTCGATGTAAGCATTTCTCCTAGCCTTAAATTAGATGTGTCATGTTTTATACAGAAATGAAAGTCAATGAAATCTCAGTTTAAATTTCTATTTTCTAAAAGGATACAATGATATGTTTTTATTGCTAAACATTTGAGAATTTAGAAAACATGAAACTATTTTTATATCTTACGTTGGTGCATGACATGTCTTTACATACAAACTTTCCAGAATTTATTTTCCAGCTTTATTCTCATAGTTTAGTTTTGATCCAAGAAACCCAGATGCTTTTGTGAGGGCAGCTTTCTCATTTGAAGGCCATGAAAAGCACAAATTTTCTGTTTTGTTTTAAACTGAGAGAAAATACTGGGGCAGTTTATTTGGGGAGAGGGTATAAGAATCTTGGAAAAGGAATGACTTAGTCAATAACCATTCACATTCTTGCTGCTATAGGATGTGTGTGCACTTGGGTATATAGCATGAATCTTAAGTAAATGAATTTGAGTTATTTAGTCCTTCCTAAAAAAAGGGTTTTCTAAGCAAATGTACCATTTCATTATATGTAAGAATTTGGTCCCATTTAAAACAATAAATGTTATTAAACTATAAGAGTCAATATGGATCAGATAAATTGTAACATGATTATTGTGAGTCTTTACATACTACCAGGGATGGATTACCCAATAAGCAAGGTTGTTGTTGCTAGGTGCCATCGAGTTGTCTCCAACTCATAGCACAGCAGAACGAAACACTGCCCGGTCCTGAGCCAACTCCTTGATTCTTGCTATATTTGAGCTCATCATTGCTGCCACCATGTCAATCCATCTCATTGAGGGCCTTCTCCTCTTTCGTCGACCCTCCACCTTACCAAGTATGAGATCCTTCTCCAGGGAATGGTCCCTTCTGACAACATGACCAAAGTAGGTGAGACAAAGTCTGGCCATTCTTGCCTCCAAGGAGCATTCTGGCTGCACTTCTTCCAGGACAGACCTGTTAGTTCTTTTAGCAGTCCATGGTACTTTCAGCATTCTTTGCCAGCACCACAACTCAAAAGCATCAACTCTTCTTTGGTCCTCTTTATTCATTGTCCTGCTCTCACATGCATATGAGGTGATTGAAAATACGCTGGCTGTTGTCAGGTGCACCTTAGTCCTCAAGGAGACATCTTTGCTCTTCAGCACTTGAAAGAGTTCCTTTGCAGCCAATTTGCCCAGTGCTATACATCATCTGATGTCCTGACTGCTGCTTCCATTGGCGTTGTAGAACCAAGCAATGTGAAGTCTTTGACAATTTCAATCTTTTCTCCATTTATTGTGATGCTGCTTATAGCTCCAGGTGTGAGGATTTTTGTTTTCTTTATATTGAGGTGTAATCCATACTGCAGACTGTATTCTTCAATCTTCATCAGTATTTCAAGTCATCCTCATTTTCAGCAAGCAAAGTTGTGTCATCAATGCATCGCAGGTTGTTAAGGTAAGCACGGATTTACTTGTGCTTACTTATTAATCTGTAGTGAATAATTTTACATGAGTTTCACATCATTAAATCTAGTGATAGTGGTTAATGTGCTCTGCTTCTAAGCCAAAGGATGGTGGTTTGAACCCACCAGCTGCTCCATGGGAGAAAGATGTGTCAGTCTGCCTCTGTAAAGATTTCAGCCTTGGAAACCCTATGGGGCAGTTCTATTCTGTCCTGTAGGATTGTTATGGGCCAGAATTGACTTGTTGGCAGTGGGTGTTGATGTGGTGATAAATACGTGACACTTTTCACTACATATTAGTAAGTAAGCACAAGTAAGCCTGGGCTTACCCTGACTTCTGGTACTCCATCCTTGTCAAGGATTGTAAATTTGAAGAGAGGCTCTGATTCTGTAGGAAAATTGTGTCGGGTTGGGAGAGAGACGGATGCCAGCCTAGAACCAGAATCTTTGATGTGGTGAAAAAAATGTGAAATTGTTCACTACAGATTAGTAAGTAAGCACAAGTAAACCCATGCTTATCTTGCCCACTAGGTAATCTGACATTGTGCATCACTGAACTGAGGCTCAAAATAGAAAGTACACTTGCCATATTTGAAAAGAGAAATAAGGAGAAATAGACTTGTTTTCTTAGTAAGCAGGTAGGTAATTTTATCCATGTAACCTTTAAATCAAAATGCCATATGCACACTATTTTATTATGCTATAGATTTGATTTTTTTTTTATTTGTAAAGATATATAGTTAAATTGTAACAATAAAAAGAGAGTTGGTGGTTCTGGGAGACTGGATGCATAAGATTATATGTTGTTTCGCCTGTCTTCCTGAAAGGGGACTAATACATTGCTATGTTTAGAATCCAGTTATACAACCAACTGGTTTTCAAGTCAGACACTAGTCAAGGAAATAATGACTTTAGCTAATGGGAAAAACATCCAGCCATATTTTTCCCAGCTGTGCTTCTCCCCTCTGTGGCCTTCAATAACTTCAATGGAAGTTTAGTGTGTTTAGGGAGAAAGATGGCCAGAAGAATCAAAATTATTAAACCAAAAAGGTCAATTTTCAAATTAAGTCTTGGACTAGAGTCAGTACAGAATAAGGTTTCTCCCTTATGATGTCCCAGTGCTACAAACAATATGGCTGACCAGCCACAAATGGGGCTGATATCATTGAGGTTATCCTGCCAAAGGGGAGAGCAAAGGAAAAACAGTTTCTGGCTTTGAAATGTGTAAATCACGCTATTAGTGTTTTCCTAATGTTCCTTTGGATTTCCAATTCAAGCTTACAGTGACTACAAGAGATAGGAAAAATTCTCTGAGGAGACAGGTCCTTGGATTTAATTCCATATAAACAGAGGGCCAAGGAATTTTGACAAAACTGTCACTCACAAAAAGTTGACTTTGCCTTTGAAGTTCTTGTGTGTTCCATATTTAAAGTCAAACACCTTCATTCATCCAACAGTAGCATAGGCCATTGAATAGCATGATATAATGATTGTATTTATTTATACTTCAGATTTAAAAAGGTCTTTCATAAGATTCCTTTCTATTCAGTTATAAAATCATCAGATAATGTTTCCAAGGATTTTCCAAGAACATCATATGAGTCGCCTTAAACTTTCAGGCCTAACTGGCCTTGATGTACCTTTTTTTTTTTTTTTAAATGACCAAAGGAAAATCAATTTAACCACATTTTATCCTTGGGATTTAAATAAATTCTCTTATCTTTCTGTCTTATTTTCTTCTCTGTTAGTCTTTTATCCAAGGAGATAAAATACTCTGCTGTTGGTCAAATCACCAGTGAAGATACTGAGATTCTTAAAATCTCAATATTTCTATGTGGAACACCGGACTGTGAGCTGCTCCTTCAAAATGTGCTTTGCCCTATGGAAACCCCACCATAACAACTCAGAAACATCCTAAGTTTCATGTATTATGTAACACCAAACAAAGTTTGCATCATTGCACGTGTTTTTTGTGTCTTTTCCCTTCCTAGTCCTAGTACGATGCCTAGCATCTAATAGGAGCTCAACAAAAAGGTGTGTGGAATGAATAAATGAGAACATGCACTATTGTACTCTAGAGGTCATGTAGATTATGCACAAACTCACTATACTTGTATGTGATTTTTGAGAGAAAACATCTCCATCTTTGGTGGTTACAAGTTGTATCAAAGTTCATGGAAAGAGTCATTTTCTTCTGCAGTTCAAATAAGCTAAGTCAGAAAACCATACCTTGAGTGAGAATAGAAGTATCTTTGTGAAATGTGAGAAGCCAACAAGCAAGTACCCTTTAACAAACACAAATGCAATGCACAATTATAAAGGTATTGTTTTATTGACCTCATCCCTGTGTAGAATTTTTCCACCGTGACCCAGTGGGATTCAATTCCTGCATGTTTATCATTATTTAGCATTTAATATAAATCTTCCTCCACTGCTAGATCAGTATGTAAAGGACATAAGTTCTTAAAAACACTTTGATATTGAGAAAAGCTGGGATGCTGAAAGCAGACAGTACCAAATTCTATGAGAATTCCTGTGGAGTGTATCTTATGGACACGGGAGTTTGGGATTATGACTTTGGTTGCAGTAAACCAAAGATGGTCCAGGATATGACTGAAATGATCACAGTGGAGTATTTGGCCACAAAAAGACAAATAAATAAATTGTGCTATGAGTTCTTTATAGTGCATTATAATTCAGGGATCACGTATAAATTCTTTATTGATACTAAAAATGGATGGCTGGCAATTATTTTGAGATACTACACTTAGTAACAGATTTCTGAGATGATGGATGTAACAATCCTGAGCATTTATAAAGGGGACTGTCTGATATTATATATGCATATCTCCATGACATGTTATAACACATGATAATTTATTAGGGAGAATGCACTTTTTAAAACATCTATTTTAAATAAATGTTCCCTGAATATAAAGTGCTGGCAACTTTTGCCTCAAGGGGAACTCATTTTCCTCCTCTTTACCTAGTAATTTTCGAGAGACCTCAATTATAAATTCAAATTTTGGTCAGAAAAACATGATCTGACCACACCTGAAAGAGAAAAATTCAAAGTGAAAAATATTTCTCATTCTCTACTGGTATAAGTTGCCAATAAGTTAGCTGCATGTCATTCAGCCAGTATTATTTAGACTGGTTTAACATATATCATTCACTGTAGTCAATGCCTAGTAATTCTGAAGTTGCAGGTACGTCTGCTAGATAAACTGGGACAAATTGTAGCAAGGATAGCTATACTATCATTTTTAAAACACTCATGAAAGCCACGAATTACATCTTGCTGTTTTTGATCTCAGACTCCTCCTTTTTGGATTGTGGACTTTTCCCATTCATTAAACTTCTGGTATCTTCCTTGATTGAAGCTGAATCCATAGAAACTGTTCTTTTGGTAAATGCTGGTGAGATAAGAAGACAGAAAACATAAACAGAGGTGAACAGATACCCTGGGCTGGAAAAGAAAAAAATTATAGAAGATAATTAATTAATTAATATTGTAATGAATAATTATTTGATCTGGTTTTCTGTAATTCAACTTCACTTGGACTAGCAGACCTTCAATACAGACATAAACATAATCAGTGTACAATACTGTCAAAAACACACATTCAAGTGATTAAAAAAAGTTTTTTTTTTTTTTTTTAAGAGTGTCAGAGTTAAAGATGTGAGCTTAGTACAAAATGACACAAACTATACACATACAAGATCTTAGAGGGAGAGATCTTAAGGGCTTCCTTATTACAGAATATTCTGTGTTAAACAAAAAGAAACTGATACCCGGTCTGGCATTCAGGTGCACTGTTCTCATCTCCTACCTTTCACCTCTGTTCTAGCCCAGATGCCTATATCCAGTCTTCCATTCTGATTTTTATTCTCTGAAGTCTGCCCATCCCTTAGGCTTCCCCATCTGCCCAGTTTCTCAAACTTGGTTCCTTTGTTCCTTCACCTTGCCTGTCCCACCATCCATTTTAACAGTAAGTTATGCTGGTTTTACCTCCCAAATTCACCTGAGGCCCTCTGCTTCTCACCATCTCCATTATTCTCATCCTAGCGTAAGCCACCTTGTTCTCTCTTCTGTTCTCATTCTTGTCCTGCTATGATCCCTTCTCTTCATCAACGCCAGAATTATCTTTCTAAAAGGTAAATCAGATTCTCACTCTCCACCCCTATGATTATGCCCATCCCTATCCGCCATGACCTCCCAGTGAATTCAGAATAAAATCTGAACATATGACTGTGGGTGAAAGGCTCCACTCAGACCTCAACTCCCGCTACTCATCCCTTACTCACTCACCGGATGTTTGTCTGGGGCCTTTGTACTTACTGCTCCCTCTAAGAGGAAGATTCTTCCTACCCACTTTTAACTTGGCAGGTTCTCCTTGCCATAGAGGTTTCAGCTCAACTGTAACCTCCCCTGAGGGCCAATTTGAAGTAGCAGCCCTGTTCCAGGTACCCTCTATCATTTCCCCTTTACAGCACCTATCACCAATTTTAATTGATTTAGTTATTGGTTTATTTGTTTGCTACCTGTTTCCTCCATGAGATGAGGTGACTTTGTCTGTCCTGTTCATTACTGCAACTCTAGCACCTAAACTAGAACCTTATACAGCAACTTTTAGTAAATCTTGGTTGAGCAAATGAATATATTTAAGAGATTTCTAAGAGCTAGACAATTGGGAATTTTCTAGCTGCTTCCTAGAAAGCATCTAGAGAGTTATCTTGTCAAACTGTAATAACCAGAACTCAATTATTTCTAAATATCTAGCACTTAATTGGCCAGTTAAAATTTCCTGAAACATTGCAACATAAAATGAGCCTATAAAATGAGAGAGACAGAAAGATTATGCTCTCATGGAATAAATCCATTCTCTAGTGGATGAGAAGCAATTTTTGTAACTGATCAGTACCCCAATGTTTTAACTGACATAAATCTTTGGCATTGTATCCAACATGTTTGAAGATAGACTACTCAGTCACTGCCATTGAGTCGATTCGACTCATAGCAACCCCTCTCTGGGTTTCCCAGGCAGTATCTCTATGGAAGCAGATTGTCCACTCTTCCTTCCAAGGAGTGGCTGGTGGGTTTGAACTGCTAGCTTTCTAGTTAGCAGTCAAATGTCTTAGATACTACGCCACCCGGCTCCCGAAGATAGACTATATATGAGTGCTTAGTCACAGTTAGCTTGGTGGACCCTGAAGGATGACAAAGAACTGAAAATAGTGTGCTATTGTTGCCCTGGATAAATTATTTTTCATCTGAGGAACTTAAACTCTCACTAAAGGTACCTCAAAACATGAATTAAGAATACTAACTTTTCTTTTTATAACAATATAAATGGTGATAAGGAAGTGAAATAAAGTTGTTTTAGCAACTTACAATGATTTGCTTTGCTAAAATGATTGCGTTACATTAACATGTAAGAGTCATTTGCTAAAAGTCTAGAGTAATCCTTAGATAACATTTTCCCCCACGGAAAATCGTAGTCCTTTTTGGAATAACTAAAATAAACTTTTAAAATAAACTTCCGTTTTTAGAACAGTTTTAGATTTACAGAAATATTGTAATTTGTGTTTATTTTTAAAATTTAGAGACACTGGCTTCACCAATATTAAGCATTTCAGTCTCAAAGGACCCAAGATTTTGAGAAGTCATCAGATTACAACAGACTTCACTCAAATCCAGTCTGGTCCAGGCCCCATGAGTGAAGGTCCTGTCCAGGAGTTGTGTTCCTTTAGCCTAAAAGAAGCTATACATGGAGACTAGTGGTCAGTCACTACTTATAAAAAGTAAAAATGACAGTTTCAAAAGCTGACATTATGAGTCTGTCTTACTAAGCCCCCACTGTCTACAGGCCGAAGGTAATGGAATCCAAGTCTTCTAAAAGAGTGTCCTGAATTGCGGCCATAACTTCCAGCCAGCCAGGATAAATTTGGTAGCGATCATGGCTCTAAATAATGGATTGCTGTGTTCCTATTTCCAATGGTAATATAAACTTACAATTTATACATTTCTTCCCTCCTTCTGGCAGAAGGAATCTACCTTTTCTTGAATTGACGTGAACTACACAAACCTGACATAAATTACTACTAAAAACAAACTTTCATTAATGCTGGATCATTTTAGCAACCACAAATTATGCAGTATTTTCCCATTTCCTTTGTTTTTTCCATGGTCAGGGATTCTACGTCTTAGTTTGGTCACAGTGTAACAGGGCGTCTAAGTCAGCAGAAAGGCATCTACAACTTGGACAAAAGGGCCTAATCCAGTTGAAACCCCAACTTGAGTAGGAAGGTGCTTGTTCTGCCTAAGGACCTTAGGTTCTCTCCTCTCCAAGTCACATGAACCATACAGGTCTAAACTTTTCTAAACTCTAAATCACAGCTTTCTTGTCCCACTAACAAGTTAACAAGAAATTTGAAAATTTGCTAGTCAGACACAAAAGCTAGGACTTTATTGTTGTTGTTGTTGTTATGTGCCGTCGAGTCAGCCCCGACTCATAGCGACTCCTCCTTGGGTTGCCGAGGCAGTATCACTACGGAAGTAGGATTGCCCAACCTTCCTTCCGAGGAGTGGCTGATGGGTTTGAACTACCAGCCTTCTGGTTAGCAGTCAAGTGCCTTAGGCATTATGCTACCAGAGCTTCTAGGACTTTATTAGTAGAACTTATCTTTGAAAAGAATCATTTTTAGCCAAAGTTTACCACAGGGTTATTTAGGATAAACAGGAATTTCTTGCCCTATCCCTCCCATTCCCACAGTTCTACTTCCCTGAGTCAACCACAATCAGCTCCTTTAGCTATGTTTTCTGTATTTATTCCAGTGCCTCTTTTTAAAAATGCGTATATTACTATTTTTCTGATATATCATTTTTAGACACTGTCCACACCCACTCACTTCTCCTCATGGCATCCACCCAGTACAGTTACATCTGGATTTTAGTTATGTCAACAGTTTATATTATTATCACTATGCAAGTAAATATGGCTCACATAAACTTAATTAAGTGTACTACAACAATGCATCCTTTTTTGTTTTTTTATTCCCTCCTAGGGTTATTTGCTATTTTGGTTTAGGGTTATTAATTGGCCTCCCCCACCCCCCCCAACATTTGCTTTTTCTCTGTGACAATCCTTAATTGTTGCCTGTTGCTCAATCATCTATCTATATATGCCATATATCTATGGTAGTTTTTGCTAAGTGCTCAAATAAATGTATTATATATCAGCAGTTTGTTCCCTACTCCCAAAAAAAGATTGACTGGAAAATTTAGCCAAAATTTCTGATGATCTTTCATTCCTTCTTTCAGTATGGGAGAACTGACCCATAAAATGATACAGATTAAAAAGCCCAACCAATATGTAGCAAGACAAATATCTGAAGCGTATCATCACAGACATCTTGAGTTAAAGACAAGATCCTAAAAATTCTCAGAGAGAAAGGTAGGGGACAGAAGTAATTCAAAGGAGTGAGGATCAAAAGTGACAAAGCTTTTCAACAGTAACAGTGAGTGGGTTTTCGAAGACAACTGTCAAGTAGCCTCAGAAGGAAAATGATTGTCAACCTAAATGTTTGTACCAGCCACTCCTCGGAAGGAAGACGGGGCAATCTACTACCGTAGTGATACTGCCTCGGAAACCCAAGGAGGGGTCGCTATGAGTCGGGTCCGACTCGACGGCACATAACAACAACAACAACAACAACAAATGTTTGTAGCCAAACTCTCAATCACATATGGGCAGAAGAAATCCATTTCTAGAAATATAAAAACGGAAAACATTTACCTCCCTTTCTTTCATGTGTTCCCACAAAAGAAAGGAATAAAATAGGAAAAAGGAAGACTTGAAATCTGGGAAACAAGGAAACCTACATAGAGAGAAAGTGAAGAAAAATCTCGGGATGGCGGTTGTGCAAAACAACAGTCCTTGTTGGCTGCTCCTTTGAATCAAGACCCTCCTGGGCTTCTGTTCTGTTGTCTTTGTTCTCTAATCCCAAGACTCTTAGTAAGCAGGTATTGTCCTTCATGAACTGATCTGAGAAATATCTTATTTTTTTTCTCAATCATTGTCCAATTCTTTTTTGTTTTTCCTCTACTTTCATTATGATTTCTTCAACTTTGCTTCCCACCTTTCTATATTTTTTTCCCTTATGGCAGTTACATTTTTAATTTCTGCAATGTCTTATTCTCTATTCCTTTTCCATAGCACCGTGTTCTTATTTAATGGAAGTAATACTTTCTCTCACATCTCTAAGGGCATTACTGCTAATTTTTAAAAGGTGTTTTCTTTTATTTCTTCTTCTTCCTTATATTTAGGGAACATTTACTGTAGGTTCCTTTTTTCTTTTTGTTGGTCTTGACATCTCTCTTTTTTAAAAAAATTTGGAGGTTTAAAGACAGACTACAAAGAAATTATAGAACAATTTCTACAACTAAGTGTATTCCAAAAATGGAGACCACTCCAGGGTGATCCCAGTTTTTTCCCACTTCTAATATACCACACTATGAAAATGGTACAGAAAAGTCAAAGTTCATCAGAAAAGCAAACAGGAATAAATATAATTTCAAGAAAGAGTTTGATTAAATCACTTAGAAATGATTAGTGATAAGGTATCTATGAGATTAAATTTGAAAATTATACTTGAAAACATGAGAGTCAGGGTGTGAGGAAAATCATAAGACTTATCAAAAGAACAGTAAATCAGAAGGCTCTGAATCAGGCTGTGTTCTCACATAGTTTTTTCTATTATTACTTAACTTTCTTTCTTTTTGAACCAGTGAATTTATACAGAAAACTTACGGCTACTGGTGAGGAACAGATTTTAATTAGAGAAATGACCACAGTGAAATGACAAAATGCTATGAAAGGAAAGTTGAATACAGTTTCTTTCACTGCCTACCGCAATATTCAATAAAATTAATAAACCTTAATGTTTTCCCCTTCATGTCTTCTAACCACTTCCTTCTAGGTGCCTTTCTAGGGAGCTTTATGAAAGTCATATTGGCAACATTAATTAGTCATAGACCTCTGCGCTCATATGAGGCACAATTTGTCTCCTGTGGCCATGAATGTCTTAATGGATGGGACACTCTGGTGTTTAATAGTACTAAGTTGTCCCCCTGACCCACCCTTATGTTTACATAGATCCTCATGCTTACCAGACCTGAGGACATTTTTCATTGCTTAAGATGAAAGATAAAAATGCAGCCTATGTGTACATCAGACTCTAAAGTCCCGTAACCAACTTGAGATTGATCCAAGAGCAGCTGCCAGATTAGAATAGCAGAGGGTATATGCAGATAAAAAAATCACTGTTAAAGTGATTAGGACAGGAAAGAGAAAACGTTTAGCTTCTGGAATAAAATAATCATGATATAATGAAAAATCAAACCGTTTAGCAAAAAGTGATAAATATTTATTGAATGAATCCATGAATATAAATCAGCAAAAATGAAAGTTATCACTTTTGGATTTGACCTACTTCTTGCGGCTTATTTGGGTATTTTATTTGATAGCAACTTAGCAATTTTAAATGGTAGAATTATCAAATTTAACGTACACTCCTCCAGGCACATGGCAAACTGAAGAAATAATTATCTAAATGAGAATCCATTTGAGCCTAAAAGTTTGGATAAAACTAGACTTTGGGAAAAAAAAGATCATATACACATTCATCTAATATTAACTGAAGACTTACTGTGTGCCAAGTACTATCAATATACTGAGGATACAGTGGACAATCTAAACATTTTTCCTAATCTCATGAAGGTCACTCTTTGGTGAAGAAAAGAATCAAAATCATCTAAATAACAAATAACTCCAAATTACTATAACTAGAAGGCTTTTAAAGGAAAATTATAGCGCATAACAGAGAATGCATGTAAAATTGTAAGCTCAGAAGACCTCCTAGAGGATGCTACATAAAAGCTGAAACTTGAAGGATGAGTATAGCAGGGGAGTGGGAGGAGGTGATGGTAGGAGATGGCATCTGGGGTCAGTGGGCTAACACCTTGTTGATGTTTCTTCTGATACCTTGCCAACATTTACCTCGTATTCACAGAGTGAAATCTAGCAGATAATATTAGTATTCTTATTCTTTGTACAAGATTCCTGAACTGTTCTATGCAAATATTTTTCACTTTTTTTATTTGGATTTTGTTATGATAATACCTAACTTCCTATATTCCTAACTTCCTGTATTCACTCACCCAGAGTGACTAGTGAGTACCAAATAAAGAAAGAAGCAAACAAAAATTGCTTAATTATGATTTTTGTTTGGGGTGAGTTATTTTAAGCTCTCCTGAGAAGTGTAAGGTCTGAAAAGGAAGGATTCCATGTGTATTTTAGTAAATTGTGCATTATTATAAGTACTTGGAGGCATTATTTGTATGATTCATAATGAAAATTTTCACAAACTCACAGCATGAATATTACTATCATGTACTGGTCTTATACATAATTCCTTCCATGAGTTGCTTTTCTTAAATCCAATTAAAAAACTGGTACAGGGCTTCATTACTTACAGTTCAAGTGTGAAAATCGTGGACTAGACAGGAATCTACTGTGGTCCTGCCAAGAGGATGAGTGATCTAACCCATGACTATGGGAACCTTCGGGAACAATTCTGTCATCCTAAGAGAGAGAGGATGGTTTTCAGTTCAATGGTTCTAAAATGTAAGGACCAGAATTCATTGAAATATACTCACATTGAATTTAAATGTTAACATACAAGCTACATTATACATGAACTATTTAAGTAAATATAACACTTGTAAAAATATGTGCATGTTAAAGAATATATGCAAAAAAAGAAAGAAATAGGATATCACCCACAGCCACAGCAGCGTGACCTACTTCTTTCCAGTCTTTCTTTTCTATACATAGGATATTAAAACATAGTTAAAAAAACCTTGTGTTGTTTATTTATGTACATTAATAAATATTTTTGAAGTCATTTTATTATCCTAACCTCTACCTTAAGGACTATTCACGCATTATCTAGTAGCTACACTTTGTTTTACTCAGCCATTACATGACTGAACATTAAGGTGGCTTCTGGTCATTTTACTGCTATAAATAACACTGAGAGAAATAACTTTAAATAGAAAACCTTTTCCATATTTAGGACCATCCCTTATGAAAAATCTTTATAAGTGGATATATTGGGTCAGTAAAAATAATTAGACTTTTTAAAATAAATTTAGGTAGACTGCTTTCTATAATAATTATGTTAATCCTCTTACTAATTCAACAAATATTTATTACATAAACAAAAATAAACATGGAAAAGGTCCATTTCCTTATGGAGTGTATGAATTGTCCTTTTCTCCAAGTCTTACCTGAAAATGGGAATTAAAACTTTCAATATTTTTACTAATTAAATAGATTCAAAATAGGTACAGACATACTTCAAGATACTGCAGGTTAAGTTCCAGACCACGGCAATATAGTAATTATCTCAATAAAGTGAGTCACACAGATTTTTGGTTTCCCAGTGTATATAAGTTATGTTTAAACTATACTTAGTCTAGTAAAGGGAGCTCTGGTAGCATAGTGGCTAACGCACTTGACTGCTAACCAGAAGGCTGGTGGTTCAAACCCACCAGCCACTCCTCAGAAGGAAGACGGGGCAATCTACTTCTGAAGTAATACTGCCTCGGAAATCCAAGGAGGGGTTGCTATGAGTCGGGTCTGACTCGACAGTACATAACAACAACAGTCTAGTAAATGTACAAAAGCATTATGAAAAAGTTTGAACTATTTGAGAATTATCAGACTATGACACAGAGACAAAAACTAAATATGTTCTGTTAGAAAAAGGGTGCCCAATAGACTTGCTTGACACAGGGTTGCCATAAGCCTTCAATTTGTAAAAACCGCAGTTATCTGGGAAGCGCAATAAAGTGAAGCACAATAAAACGAAGTATGTCTATACCTCAGTATATTTTGATGAACAGTGAAACTGTGATTTTTTAATGACTGTTTTCTAATTATTTACTACATTTATTTTTTCTTTCATTCACTCATTCATTCAACAATAATTTGTTGGGTATTGTGATGGTTATGTTTGTGTGTCAGCTTGGCTGGGCCTGGTTGAGTGGCTGGGCAGCTGGTGGTAGTTATTCCCCATGATGAGACTGGCAATCAACTCCATGGTAGGATCTACCACAAGCAGCTGAGTAGCTGCTTTGGGTATGTTGTTAGCTTCCTTTATATAAGCAGCATCTTTGGGAATGGTCTCTAGCTTATGGCACTCTTGGATCCTGCATGCAGCCATGTTGTTGTTCAGCAGCCTGCCATGCTTTGCTGACCTTGGGACTTACAATGGACTTAAGTTAATGGCCTCCTGTGTGGTTTGGTAACATCGGGACTGTGCCTTTTTACTTGTTAACCTTGGGCTTCTCAGCCTCAGCAGCCAGCAGCTGTCTGAGTGAAGAAATACCTCTAGCTTCAGTGGGCCAGGAGCTGGAGGCAGAGCTGAAGCCCGAGGCTGAGGGGCTTTCACCCAGTCCCTAGGGCCTGGCACTTTGAACTTGGACTTCCAGCCTCCTGAACTGTAAGAGAATAAACTCCTGTTTGTTAGAGCCATCCCATTTGCAGTATATTTCCTGTCAGAGTGGCACAAAGTAACCAAAACAGGTATCTATTATGTGCCAAGCAAAGAACACATAAGATAGTGGGATAATGGGTATGAACACAGCCCTGCCCTCATGAAACCTCTTGAGAGAAAGGCAATAAACAAATAAACTACACAAAATACAATTTAATAAAAAATTATGATAAGGGCTATAAAGGAGAACAGAAAATAACATGAAACATCAAATTTAGATTTGGGTCCAGAAAAGGCCTCTCTGGTTGTGACATCCAACCCAAGGTGTGAATGTTATCAATCAATAAACCAGTCAGGTAAAAACTTACAAAGGGGGCAGTTTTAGGGAATAGGGTAGAGATCAGGGAAGGATGTTTCAAACTCTTCTGAAGGTGTTGAGGTGAGAGAGAGTTCAGTGTGTTGGAGGAAATGCAGGGAGGACCCAGGGCTTAAGCACAGGACCCTGGCGGAAGTGGTTAGAACAGAAGCCATGTGTAAGACTTAGATTTTTTTTCCCGTTACTTACAACCAGAAAGCAAACAAGAGTTTTAGGGAGATGGATGCTTTCATTCATAATTTTTCAAAGATCATTTTGGCCTCTGTTCAGAGAACAGATTGGAGGGGAGCAAGTATCAAAGTGGGAATACCAGTTAAAAGACTGTACTTGATGATGAACGTGGGATGAAGGGAAAGGAAGATATCAAGAATGTCCTAAGATTCTAATAAGGAAACAATTAGTCTTAGGGGCTAATGGACCATGAGAACCTCAGCCTACATGACCCTGAGACCAGAAGAACTAGATGATGACTGGCTACCAATGCCAATCACTTGAAAAGGGATCAAAATCAGAGATCCTGAAGAGAGTGGGAGGAAAATTGTGGAACAAAATTCAAAAACATAAAAATGACCACAAATTTATCTGGTAAGATAAAGACTGGTGAAACCTCCAAGACTATGGCCTGCATTACCCTTCGGGCCAGGAACTGGACTCATTCTTGTGGGTTAGCTCTCAGTCAAACAACAGAAAGGCCTACAAGTTGAACATCTAACCCACAGAGGTACACCCTACAGAACAGTCAACCATGAAAGATCAGAAGGGCAGCATTTGCACAGGAGAAAAGCTAGACAGACAGGAATGTACAGGTAAGGACATAGGGAAGGGGTAACCACAGAGAGGGGGTGAGAGGAGAGCTGTTCCATTGTGGGGATTGTATTTGGTGCTGTGAAACAAAATGTGTATGAACTGTTCAGTATAAAACAAATCTGCTTTATAAGTTTGTTCCCAAATCACAATTTGAAAAAAAAACAAATTCTAGATGAAAAACTGTAAGTTAGGTGGCCCAAAACAAATACTTCAAAACATGAAACCACATATAATATGACCCCATGTAACATGGCTATCTAATGAATTAGTTGTTATTCTCTGTAAGTACCCAGTTTATATTTTTATCTCTGTCACATATGAACAGAAAAATGCAAAAGAAAAAAGAGGCTAAAAATAAATAAATAAATAAATAAATAAATAACAGCATAAATGTTTATAAAAGGCTGATTTATTGTGAGCTGCATATGTGAACTCAGTCTTCAGATGATTCAAGATCATTAGCCTAAAGAGAAAGAGAGTTAAGGTATATTTAGATGAAGGCCTTGAGGTTTTTAACCAAGTGATTTTTAGTTCGCACTGACTATGAGATTTCATAAGAAACTAGAAATTATTCACTGTAAGATGTCTGGAAAGCACAGGATACATATTGTGTCCTAAGGGTATCTAAGGAGTAAAACCAAAAAGCCCAAACTCACTGCCATCGAATCAGATCCAACGCATAGCGACCCCTCCTTGGGTTTCTGAGGCCATATCACTAAGTGTAGTGCCTAAGGCACTTGACTGCTAACCAGAAGGCTGGCGGTTCAAACCCATCAGCCATTCCTCGGAAGGAAGGTTGGGCAATCTACTTCCATGGTGATACGGCCTCAGAAACCCAAGGAGGGGTTGCTATGAGTCAGGTCCGACTCCACGGCACATAATAACAACATCACTATAGGAGTAGATTGCACAATCTTCCTTGTGAGGAGTGGCTGGTGGGTTTGAACCGTCAGCCTTCTGGTTAGCAGTCAAATGCTTTAGGCACCATGCCACCAGATCTCCTAGAGGTGGGTGAACTAGCTATTGTAATTTAGATGTGAAATACTAAAGGTTTGCAAGTGGAAAAGACAATTATTATCTGAACCAAAGTTAGTGTTATTCTTGGGTACCAATGAGTCTGTTCTTACACACAGAGACCTTATGTACAACAGAATGAAACCCTGCCTGGTCCTGTGCCGTCCTCGGAATCGTTGCATGTTTGAGCCCGTTGTTCCAAGCACTGTATCAGTCCATCTTGTTGAGGGTCTTCTTTTTCGCCGACCATCTATTTTAACAAGCATGCTGTCCTTCTCCAGGGAATGATCGCTCCTGGTAACATGTTCAAAGTATGTGAGACAAAGTTTCATCATCTGTATTTCTAAGGGCATCCTGGTTATACTTCTTCCAAAACAGATTTGTTCATTCTTCTGATAGTTCATGGTGTATTCAATATTCTTTGCCAACATCATAATTCAAAGGCATCAAATCTTCATTTTCTCTTATTCATTGTCCAGCTTTTGCATGCATATGAAGTAACTGAAAATAATATTGCTTGGGTCAGGCGCACCTTAGTCTCCTTTGCTTTTTAACACTTTAAAGGGGTGTTTTGCAGCAGATTTGCTCAATACAATATGTCGTTTGATTTCCTGACTGCTGCTTTCATGGGCATTGATTGTGGATCCAAGTAAAATAAAGTCCTTGACAACTTCAATCTTTTTTCTGTTTATCAGGATGTTGCTTATTGGTCCACTGGTGAAGATCTTTGTTTTCTTTATGTTAAATCAATGCTAGTACTTCCATTTAATCATGGTTTTGATGCAAAGCATGAAAAAGAAAAACACAGGAGAGTTTTTGATCTAAATGATGCTTGGATAATCATGACAAAGGAAAAAATAAAGGAAAGCAGACACATCCAGATTT